AAAAATATCTTGATGAAACTTCGTACCATTGTTTCTTGGAAAAAAAGTGATAACGAGTTCATAGACGATAAGATGCACCTTTGCGTTCAAAATAAAAAAAGTGGACGGATCCTCCCCCTTATTGGTTTGAAATATATATGTAGGTACAGACTCCTTAAGCATCTCTACCGATATTGTAAAATTTATGAAATTGGAAGATAACCCAACTCCTTTACAACGATACTGTTAAAAACATAACCTTTGCCAGAGATATAATATTTTACACCAGAGATGACATGAGAAAATTTTTTGTCCAAAAATTGTTCAAGCTCCTAGGTATCGAATATTTGAAACACAGTATATTAAGCTGACTTTTTACCGCAAATATCGATCAATGTTGCAGATTTATAATTAAAACTCATTGATAATTGAGGTAATGGTATGTCTTTGTGTCCAAAATAGGTTCCCTGAGCCCCGTGTACACTTAATATAAAGACTTTTGAAATTCCGGGCGACTTTATGCTGAATATATCGCCAAGGGTTATCACAGTGAAAACAAGAGAAGGTATTTTAATCATAACAGTGCATCTTTGCGCCTAAAAATTATAAAATTGGAAGAAACCTTGACCAATCCCCTATAAACTTAATATGATTATTTTCAAGCATTTGGCTGACTTTAATCCATGTGATGGGTGGTGTATGTGACGTACCTTAATGAAACCCAGGGAACATATTATTAGTATGCGGCAGGTTAATATTATGTGGTAATGGCCAGTGAAATCGGGTCGATACTCCCAACTCCCATATACGAGTACAACATATGTATACGATTTTGGTTTTTCTAACAAATCTTATTCGAAATACATCAGGCAGTGTATGAGTTATGTATATATCGTCACCTAAAGTGCATAATAAGCTATGATCAAAAAATTCGAAATTCAGTGTTTCACTGATTACGATGCACTACTTCAAATTACATACATAATATTACATATGAACAACATTTTCAAGTACTGCGATCCAGTTTTAACCAATATTTAAATTTTATTTCACTCATGTTTTATTATGTGTTTCATTCCTTCCTCTCTAAATTTCCGATAATGCTTTTACGTTATTTTGCATTTTAGGTGACGAGATATATATATATATATATTCCGATTGTTTTGTTGATGTTTTACAACTGGGTATTTCCCACTCTTTGATTTGTGCAAGAAAACGTTCGGTTGCACCCGAACTTAGCCTTTCTCTACTTGTTACTTTTTGTATTGGTCTTGTTAGTGTTCAAAGATTTTAATTTCTTTTTGACTTCTCATAAACATGTTTATGCATTTGTTTGTATTTATTGTCTCAGGGCACCAAATGTGGCACAAAACTTCCACCACAATGAGGTGCGCTGAGATATTGTCACAACATTGATATACTGGAGGAGTACTTATTTGTACTGGATGGAGTTCTAAAAAACCCTAGACAAAAAGGAGGATACATTAAAAATTATATATAT